AGGTGATGTGACAGGTATAAGCATGGATTGCCAGGACCATTGGAATGCAACTGTGTTGGTAAATGTATGACTTCTCTCTTATTACTTAATTCCTTTATAATATAACTAAGCAAACATAATAACACCAACTATAAAGTTTACAACACTGAAACACTTAATAAAAATATGAAAGGAAATATTCGTATCTCTTGAAGGCCAGTTACACCTCTTTACACTACAAACTTTAAAGTAGCTCAAAGCAACAGAGCAAAGATCTCTAGCTAAAAGGTCAAAGATGGAGATAAAATGGAATAATTTGAGAAGTGCTAAAGATAGGGAAAAGAAAATAAAGAACAAGTAGAAAAAGCAGAAAAAAGAGGACCACAGACTTAAACTTAATGATAAAGTCTGAAAATTGACCAATGCAATTCACCAAATTAACATGCTAGAAAATCGTAGGATCATTTCCATAGACACAGGAAAAATTTTACATTCATTCTTGATAAAAACTCTCACTAAACTAATGTTTGAAGGGAACTGGGAATAAAAGAAATCTACTAAAAACCTACTGTTAACATCATATGTAACATGGACCAGCCAAATAGCTCAGAGGATTAGTGCCTGCAAGCAGGCGCAGGGGCTGGGGGTTCAATCCCCAGGCTTGCTGTGCTGGCCCCGCTTCCCAGCGTGCACTGAGACAGCAACTGAGACTGGGCGTGGTGGTGCACACCTGTAATCCCAGCTCTTAGAAGGCTGTAAACAGGCAGATCACTAGGAGTCTGATCTAGTAATGAGGCCCTGAACATACTGTAGACCCTCCCCTAAAATACAAAAAAAAAAAAAAAAAAAACAGACAAACAAACAAACAAACAAACCCCCCACCATCATATGTAACAGATACAGGCTTTAAAAGCAAGAACAAAACAAGAATGTCTATTCTCACCACTTCTACATAATGCTGTGCTGAAAACTTCAGCCAGAGGAATGAGGCCAGGGAAAGAAATACAGTACATCTAGTCTGGAAAGAAAGAAGCAAAACTGTCTTTACTCACAGACAACACAATCATTTATGCAGAAAATCTGACAGAACCTACAAAAAAGCTACTAGAACTGGTGAGTTTAGCAAAGTTGCAAGATACAAAATCAATACATACAACAAAATCTATTTTATTTCTGTTACAAAGCAACAATCAGAAATCGAAAGAAAAGATTGTATACAATAGGATTAACGTATTAAATACTTAGGGATAAATCTGACATATGCATACACTGAAAACTGCAAACCTTTGAGAGAAATTAACAAAGGTGTAAACAAATGGAAAGGCAAATCTTATTATGAGTCAGAAGACTCAAAGGTTTTAAAGATGTTTTCCAAGGCGATCTATGCATTCAGTGTAATCTTGGTCAAGTGTTCCAGGAGGTAT